AGTGGAGGCTTCCCATAGCTACCCCAGGGAGCTCTACCATCAAAATGGCATAGTTAAACTCTCACTGCACCAAAATCTCAGAGAGCCAGTTTGGTGTTGCGGTTAAGTGCACAGACTCTAATCAGGGAGAACCGGGTTTGATTCCCCACTCCTCCACTCGCAGCTGCTGGATGCCCTTGGGCAAGCCGTAGTTCTGTCAGAGCTGTCTTTGAAAAAGAGCAGTTTCCGTCACAGCTCTCTCAGCCCCACCTACGTCACAGGGTGTCTGTGGTGGGGAGGGGAAGGGAAAGGAGTTTGTAAGCCGCTCTGAGACTCCAAGTGAAGGGCGGGGTATAAATCCAATCTCTTCTCCTCCTCCTCCTTCTAAATTCTGCATCGCTCCCCCCTTTGGTGCCCATTAAAGAGCTCTGTTGCTCCCTTTTGTCTCTGGAGGTGCTCTTTAGTATGATGATGACGATGATAATTTATTGAATTTCTGAATCGCCCAATCCGTGAGTAGTGAGTACACAGGGCTCTGGGCGATCACTAACAAGAACTTAAAAACACACCAAAAATACAGATTAAAATCGGCAGATCAATTATTCCTAATTTAATAATCTTCAAATGGCGTCCATAACTTAATCTAAAACCTACTCTGGACTGTTCTTCCGTCTCGTGGGCAGGTTAAGGAGCAGCCGAAGCGGGCAGGATGGGAGAAAAGAGGAGGGTGCCAGCCAGGGGTCATTTCCTGCAGGAGCGCACAGGAGCGGAGCTCTGGCAGTAAAGAGCCCAGGGGGCGGGCACATGCAACAAGCCCCACCCCCTGCTCCCAGCAGCCCTCAGTCAGAGCAAGAAGCAGCCAGGTAAGTTGCAGAGTCCCCCCGTCCCCCCGGTCCAAAACAGTCCAGTGGTACCTTTAAGACCAAGTTTTGTTCAGGTACAAGCTCTCCTTCTTCTGCGAGGACAGATCTGCATGTCCCCCCCCCCCAATAGCTAGCAATCCAGAACAGTCCAGTGGAGCCTGAGCGGTGGATGTTGCCTTCTGACACACTTCCGGTGATGTCAGGGGGTGTGGCATATGCAAATAATTTATGCTAATGAGTTATGCTAATGAGCTCCTGCACCTCTTTTTCTATGAAATGACCCCTGGTACCAGCAATGCTCTCTCTAAGCTGTGGGGTCTTGTGAGTAAAAATTCTACTTTGTGAGCTACTGGCATTAAAGTTGTGAGCCAGCAATTTGGCTGCTGCATGAAGTAGTTGGCTCTGGAGCCATCCTTCCTGGGCTGAGACAAAAATGTGTGTGAGCCGGAGGCTAAAAAACTGTGAGCTGGCTCACACTAACTTAGCTTAGAGGAAACAGTGGGCACCAGCTATGATGGAAAACCATTGCTGTCCTCAACCGAAAGCCTGGAGGAAAATCTCTGCCTTACAGGCCCTGCAGAACGACATTAAGTCCCGCAGGGCCCTGATGGAAGTTGGCAGAGTGTTCCACCAGGTTGGAGCCAGGCCTGAGAAGGCCCTGGCTCTGGTCGAGGACAGCCCGATATCTTTGGGGGCCAGGGATCACCAGTAGATTGCTCTCAGCCACGGGTCTTTTGGGGCCGGAGCGTGCCGGAGCGCCGCTCCGGGAGCCCAGAAGCTGGCACAAATAGCGGTGGCAGCAAGCCCCGCCCCCAGCTCTCTGTGCTGTGGTCCGTCGCCGACCTCCTGGGGCCCGCGCAGGAGTGCTGCAGCCCCAGGGAGGCCCCAGGAAGCCCGTCGCCAGCTCCCTGGGGCCCGCGCAGGAGTGCTGCAGCCCCAGGGAGGCCAGAGGAGGCCTGTCGCTGGCTGCCTGGGGCCAGCACCGGAGCGCTGCGGCCCCAGGGAGGCCAGAGGATGCTCATCACCGTGTACCTGGGCCAGCGCCAGAGCGCTGCAGCCTGGGGGAGGCCAGAAGACGCTCCCCGCTGCCTCCCGGGGTAAGTGAGAAATCCA